TTATTTACTATTTATTCCGCAAATTTCAGTTAATTTCACTCATCCTGAATCCATTTTTTGGGCCCTCCAGACTAAAATGGAACATGAAACCTGCTCCAAGAGTGACGCCAATCCGTCTACTGGTTGTTAGGCCAAACTAGGGCGAGTAGAATTAACACAATTCTTCCAAAATAAATGACCACCATTCCTTTTGCTCCTTGAAACTTGTTTCCACTTTAACAGCTAAACAGTCTGTATGGCCGAATCGGCCACTAAAATGATGTTGGGACTTTCATTTCGTAGGGAAGTGTATGAAGAAGAAATTCACAGGTCGATCTCACCAAAATAGGGTGGTTGAATCCCGTTGTTGTGCGGCCGTTTGGCTCATATACGACGTTAAGCCTTCATCATATGATGGAGATCATCAGAGGTGGGAGTCATTCTTGTAAAATTCTCAAGTCAACACTGATACAAGACTTTTACAAGAATGAGTCCCAGCTCTTATGATCTCCATCATATGATGGACGAAATTTCAGCTCGTCTTCACCTGAACAGCTGGAGAAGGTCCCGGAGACTGCGTCAACTGTCCTCCTCTGGTGGGATAACCTTCGCATCTCTTCTTCATACACTTCTCTTTCAGGCGATAAACCGCGCCTTAGTTACTCGTCATATCTACTAAAATGATAGAGCTTAGATGCAATGAATCGGGGCCCGAATGGCCCCAGCAGACCCAACCATACCACCGCATATGGTGGGTTTCCAGATCCATAGTTGCCCTGGCAGCAGATTTCGCAACTGAATTTTATGCTCACTCGGGCTTAGACTCCTTCAACTCGGCTAGGCACTAGTAGGCTTTGCATCGTTTTCTGCACATTGATACTGTTTTGCATGAAATCTCTCCTTTTCTAGCCTGTTAGGCCATAATTCTTCCATTCCGGCCATAATCTGGTTGTAAATTGCAATCAAACCTCTGATCAGACACTGACTGACGCTACAAACTGGTAATGTTGGCCAATTATTTCGCTTATTTGACCTCATTTTTTCACACAGTTTATATGTTTGATATGTATATACTCGATTTTCCCACAATCATATGAGCAGACCTTACGTTTTCTGGCTTCCCAAAAGCTATTCTCAACCAGACTGGATGGCAGTTTCATCTGATTGTAGGCAAGTTCAACTGCCGGTCCTTCATCACCTCAACGAAATAGAGTGAATACATGTCATACATCTGATCGACTGTTGGTCACGCAAACCTACTTTTACACGAAACATCGTTTACACAGCTCTTGTTTTCCTCCTCTTAGAAGTCGTATGGGCCGAAAAATGAATTTACCCAACGCCTCGTCCGCAGGGTCGTCGAGAACATCGGTTTCAGGATTGTCATCTTGCTGTTGGTGTTCGTCGATGTCGCTCTCCTGCTTGCCACATTCGTGGGCGAGTCTTCGGGAACGCTAGACTGGGCCAACCTTGTTCTGTCGGTCATCTTTCTAACAGATTGCCTCTTACGAATGTACAGTCTTGGGTAAGTTGTCCTATTTGGCTGCATGATGCAGCCTTCTTAGAATGGAGGAAATGTCAAATTAACTTTCTACTCCGGTCTATTCAAAGGAGTTGTAAAGATGTGAATGAAAGCATGGCAATGCAAATTTCTCTCTCAAAATAGTTTTACTTGGTGGGTATCTTTTACAGGCTTGGAACCAAATGTAGTAATACTCTTTTATTGGAATATGGCCTGGTTAAGCAGCTACTGTATGTTTAGGAGTTCAGGTTGGCTGGTGAAAAATCTCAATTATTCACAAGAGGCAGAGCAAAATAATATACTGATTAATACGTTGCCCTAGCAACTATTCGTATTAATTTTTAATACATTTATATTGAATATTTCAACATTTCTCACATATACGATGAATATCATACGATTACATTCTTGTGGAGGCTTTCAGTTCACATGAAAATACATGATGAAGGATTTCGTTGGTTGGTACCACAATTAATGTGAAGGAAAATCAGTCAAACCAC